GCGTGCAACCCGATCCTCCAATATTTCCGATATTTCCATTTCAATCAATTCTTATAGAAGAAATTCCCCAATAAATGCAAACATTAATATAAATTCATAAGACAACAAGCATACAACAATTATGATTTAATTATGAAACAAACAATGACAAATAGCAAATTATTATAGAAATCAGGGAGAAAATAGGCAGTTTAATATTTAATATGCTAAATGTCAAATAACAATTAAAACACATAATTCACATAGCATGTAACAATTAATGCAGGAATTCAAGAATTAATATTTGACAAAGAATAAGAGAGAAACAATTATTATAATAATTAATTTATGATTAAAAATAATTTATGAATTTTCAAGTAAGCAAGCAAACAACTAATTTGACGACGTATAGACACTCGTCACCTCGCCTATGCGTCGTTCACATGCAATTCACATAATAAATAATTTAAGGGTTCTATTCCCTCAAGTCAAGGTTAACCCCGACACTTACCTCGCTTTGCAAATTCCAATCAATTATTCAACCACAGCTTTTCCTTTTAAATTTGCCACCGAAAGCTTCAAATCTATTCACAAACAATTCGATATATTCAATACTAATCATAGGAATTAATTCCATATGAATTTATATATTTTCCGGATAAAAATCTAAAATTCATTAAAATATTCGACAGTGGGACCCACATCTTAAATCCCGAAAAAACTCACAAAATCCGAACACCCGTTCCGATACGAGTTCAACCATACAAAATTTGTCCAATTCCGATATCAAATGTACCTTCAAATCTTAATTTTTTGTTTTTGGAAGATTTTATAAAAATCTGATTTTTCTTCCATAAATTCACGGATTCATGATATAAATGAGTATGAAATCATGAAATATAATCAATCTAGGATAAGGAACACTTACCCCAATATTTTCCGTAAAAATCGCCCAAAAAATGCCTTACCCGAGCTCAAAAGTGGAAAAGAGTTGAAAATGGGTCGCAACCCCATTTCCAGAACTTAAGTTCTGTTTCTAGGATTTTTATCCTTCGCGAACGCGGTCAGTGCCTCGTGTTCGCGAAGCACAAATTTTTGCTGTCCAATTTTACTCTTCGCGAACGTGAGGGCTACCTTGCGAACGCGATGCTTGCCTGGCTTGGCCTTCGCGAACGCGAAGGCTAATTTTCCTGGCTAGACTCTTTCCCTTTGCGAACGCGGGGATTCGATCGCGAACGCGAAGCTTTGCACCTCGACCCTTCGCGAACGCGTTTCCTTAGTCGTGAACGCGAAGCACAAAAAAGTGCCAATCCAAATTTCCTCTTCGCGAACGCGAGACTCCCCTCGCGAACGCAAAGAAGGAAACCAGAAGCAGATTTCTGTAGTTTTCTTAAGTCCAACAATGATCCGTTAACCACCCGAAATCAACCCGAGCCCTCCGGGCTCCAAACCAAACATGCACCCAAATTCTAAAACATCATACGAACTTGCTCGTGCGATCAAATCGCCAAAATTATACCTAGAACTACGAATCGGACACCAACTCAAAGGAAGTTTTCAAGAAAACTTTAAAACTTATATGTTCACAATCGGACGTCCGAATCATGTCAAATCAACTCTAATTCTCACCAATTTCGGCAGACAAGTCATAAATATTATAGTGGACCTATACCGGGCTCCGAAACTAAAATACGGACCCAAGATCAATAAATCCAACATCAGTAATTTCTTAGAAATCATTAAGCTTTCAAGCTTTTAATTTTTCATCAAAATTCCATATCTCGGAGTAGGGACCTCGAAATTCGATTTCGGGCATACACCCAAGTCCCAAATCATGATACGGATCTACCGAAATTATCAAAATACTGATCCGGGTCCGTTTGCTCAAAATGTTGACCAAAGTCAACTTAGTTGAGTTTTAAAGCTCTATTTCCCATTTAATTCATTTTTCACATAAAAATTTTCCGAAAAATTGTACGGACTGTGCACGTAAGTCGAGAAATGATAAAATGGTGCTTTTCGAGGTCTTAGAACATAGAATTACTTGTTAAATTTAAAGATGACATTTTGGGTCATCACAGTTAATGCTCAAAACTTAAGCTATTACGTTATGTCTTTTATTTCTTTTTCTTGTTTGTGATGATAGCCAAATTAAAAGTTGTAGACCTCAACATCCGATAGTCCACCACTTTATTTTTTGTATTCCTTTTTTTTTTTGAAATTCTCTTATTTTTTTCTTAAATGATTAATTTATTGTTTAGAAAGTAAATTTTGTTGTTAGTATAAATATTTTATAAAATAAATTTAAAGGCCTCTCAATATGGTTTCGCTTTAGGCCACCAGATTCATTAAGCCTAGGTCAGGGTCTATCAATTTCCTTCAAAGTTTGACCAAAAATCTATACTCATTTTATTTTTCTTATAGTAGTTATTATGTGCTCCAGTTCGTAATTAACTAAAGAGCCACACTCTTTCACAAACAGCAATAAGAAAGTGCTGCAATGTTTTTAGTTGGGATGAAAGATACATAGCTCCTGCTACAAAAAAAAAAGAAAAGAAAAGAAAAGGATGATCTGGAAAGTCACATAGGCAATTTTGCTGATTTGGCATGCTTAGTAGACTTTTTTGTTAGATTTAATTTATTTTTTGGATTCAAGTCTCCATCATCCCGATCTCTCTTCGCTGCCTCGATGGAGGTGAATTGGATAGGGCGAAAGTGGCATTCAATGGATTCCACCATGAACCGGGAGCGGGCGAAGACATGCAACTTCCATTTTCGGGATATACAGTCACGCGCCGAGCAATTTATTTTTCGAGTAACACGCCATAAGTTCATTGACCATCGAGTTATATATAAATTAAATCCGATATATTTTCTCCCTAAACAAAAACTTTTCTCATATATATTAAGAAAGTGGAAAATGATCTCTACCGAGAATCTCTTTGACCCCATTTAAAGCTTCAACTGATTATATATATACATATTATCTTAAAATATAAGAGAGAGAGAGAGAGAGAGAGAGAGAGCATTCCTATTTTACACTAAAAATTGGATGTTTTCAGTCTTATTCGCCCGAATCCCATCATTTCTTTTTGGAATAAATTAAAAGAATGTAATTAGGGAAATATAACGTAACTAAACTGAAAGTACCAGAGATAGAAGTTGAGGAATAAAGGCGAGAGAAATAGAATGAAAAGAAAATTTAGACAAGCAGTCTATTCCACTGTTATATATATTGCACTCCATCAACAAGTAATTAAAAAAAGCTAGCAGCATTAATATGCCACAAAAGTTTATATATTATGTTAAGAACATATTTGATCGATCTTCTTCTGCGTAAAGTGTAAAAAGGTTGTCGAAAGAAGGCAACTCTAATTTCAGCAAGTTATCCAACTTGAATGACATCCCCCTTCCTAAATTAGGACTAGGATTATTAGACTTGAACTTAGACATTGTCACACCAGAATTTTGAACTGGAGCAGCTGCTGCTTCCTTTCCAGTTAGTTTCTGCACTACTGATTTGAAACTCCTAGCACCAGTCTCTATATATTCTGTGTTTATTATCACCACCTTCACCTGATCTCTCCCATTTCTTCCTCTTGACATGTCTTTGTTTTTCCTTAGTTCTTTCGACAAGAAATGGCTGTATTTCTGAATTAGTTAGTCCGGACAATAAATTTCAAATATCGAATAATAATATATCCTTTGACGAATATTATGGGGAGAAGATGATTTCTTGGATATATATGGCTATGAGGAAAGGGAAAAGTGCTGGTGTTATACATGTAATTAAGATTTATATGTACATATTTATAGTAGTAAGAGGAGGACTTGAGAAAAGATTGACAAGGTGGATATATTAAGGAAGAGTTGACCGTCGTAATCAATCAAGCAGTCTAGAATGACCAGAGATGGAGTCAAAGAAAGCAAATTGAGTTAATTATTCATTCCTTGGCTCTCCACAATACACGAAGTTGCATTCGTTTCATTGAACAACTTGTCCACATGCATGCTAGCAGCTAGCTATAAGCTAGCTCTAATAAGGAACTATGTTTTAGCCGGTGTTTGGACATAAATTTGGGTTTTTGAAGTCGTGTTAGAAAAATAATTTTTGAAAGTTGAAATTGTGTTTGAACATGTATATGATTTGAAAAATAGTTAAAGTATTGTGAGTGGAGGAAAAATTTTCACCCAAAAATTGCCCTAAACAAGATTGTAGGAACTTGAAAAAAAAACACTCAATTGTTTTCATAAACTGATCGTATTTCATGAATAAATGTATGGTCAAACGGGAGCTTAAGGTACATATATACCTCCAACGTTTCTAGTATGGGATCGGTAGGAATTTCTTTACTCTTAGTCAGACGACTCGAATTTGAATCCTAAGAATGAAAAAGAAAATCTGATAGGAAGTGATTCCTCTTTTAATAGGCCTTACACGATGTAAATCTGGTTTAATCGAAGCAAGTTGGAAAAATTCTTCTTTTTCTTCTTATTGTGGAAGCCCTAATAAACACCGAACGAAAAGCAAAAAAAATTAGTGTACATGTTGCACCTCCAAATTGTAATAGAGAAGTTATTAAACCATTTAGAAATTAGTAACTTTTAACCACCTCTATCACTAAACGATAAGTTTTCTCTTATATCAAAAAGCTAAATTCAATATTTATCATATACATAAGAAAATTGTTTTTGATCTATTTGCACAAGTGTAATTGTGTGATGAATCATAGTTTTACCCTTGATTAAACCAACTATTTTTGCGAATAAGCTTAATTGGATAATATTTTTATAGTACTAAATTTAGATTTGAATTCTGGAAAACTTTATTAATTGAAGCACATATACGCGGAGTTATTTATTCAAAACTATAGGAAATTTCAAGGAATCTTGATTGTAAAGAAAGTCTCACACATAATCAATTAGAAGGAAAATTTCCATGCCATCTGTTCACACTGGATATGGTTGTCATAATAAAATTGATAGAGGAATCCTTTTAGACCCAAAAACAAGTCTTCATAATTTGTTGCAGCGATAGAATCAGATTTTATTTAAAGATCGAAAAAAATCTTCCCATTAAAATTTATGGAATAATGAAAAAATAAACACTTAATTTTATTTACTCAAAAGTTCCCAGAGGAATCCCATTCGAACAGCGTAAAGAGTTCCATTTTACTTGCATTTATCCCACCCTCCACGGACCGCATTTGTGGAATCACACTGAGTATGTTATTGTTGTTCCTGTACTACCCTATACTAATTATTGTGGAAAAAAAAAGGAAAAAAAAATAGAACAATCCTTTTTATCAACATAACAAAAACGGCATATATAGTCAAAAATTACGTGAGTAATTCAATAGAAACAATATAAATTAATTATCAGGTTGTTGACATATACAAATGTTCAAACTTTTTTCTTGGAGCAATTTGAAGGTGGCTTGATTTAATTTGACCAGTAGACTTGACCATAACCCAATATAAAAGAAATATAGTAATACACCACGTCATACTTGTCAATATATCAATATAATCAAAATAACTTTGAATTAAGACCAAGAGAATATGTGGGTGTAAATAGGTACACATCACTCTCCTATTCAGATGTCCTAATTAGTAATTAAAAGAGTGGGGGCATCTCATGCCAGAAGCCTTTCTGATTGACAATGTTTTGGTTTTTTATTTGGCGTTCGGTATTCGCTTTCGGACTGACTAGTTTATTAGGTTTGTGTCGGATGTTTGTATTTTGAGAATAAAACGCTTCCTAAAAATAACTTTATTTGCAGAACTCAAATTCGAAATATTTAATTAAAAATAAAAGAATATTTATTACTCCACTACCAATCTTCTGGCCAATTTGGCAATTTTGTTCGTCGTCCTGTGATTAATTAACAACAAGGACATTATTCAATATTTCCTCCTTTTTAGAATTCAATTCTGTTGACTGCAATGTTTGTCTTAAGTTGCAAGTTAATTGATATTTCCACGTATTACTGAAAACGGTAACCTTATTAAAAATTGGCATAGTTTTGAACAAATAACTATCGAGAAATGCATTCAATCAACTAAAATAAATTAATCACGAATGTATTTTTTAGTATTAATAAACTATATTAGTAGTCATTCAAATATAATTGCCCATACATGATCTTTAGTCGTTAAAGTCAATATACTTATTTTCAAAATGTAACTTCTTCCCCACCTAAGAACTTCAATATAGCCAGTTTGGTGCAACTTTGGTTAGAATTATTTTTTTGTTAATACCAAAAACCAAATAAAAAATTGACAGCTTTCTAAATTTAGCATCAAATAGTACCAGACAAAAACAACACATTAACTTATATAATCAGTTTGATTCTATATCAGTCTGGCCTAGTTTTCAGATTTTTCTGTGAACACACGACGTAGAAAGTGTTTCCGGACAAGGTGGGTAGCATAAGATTTTCAAAGAGAGTAGCGATGTGCGAACACATATCATACATCTATTGATTTAGTATAATTATACGATGCAGATAAATTGTATCTCGATAAATATTCACGGATCGACTCCATAGCAGCTAAAAGAGAGTGGGATTGCAGACCAACCATCTCTCCCATAACGATTATGACTCAAAAACCAAATGACTATTCAGGACCCCACGCTTCTTCTTACCGAGGAAGGTGTCAACTGACCGGCAAGTAGGGGTGTACATGAGCCCACATGGTTCGTTTTCTATCAAAATTAAACCAATCCAACTATATCGGTTTGCATTGGCTCGGTTTTGTCGATTTTTTCGGAGTTTTCTGTTATATAAATATTATTTCAATCTTTATTAAAGTTAGAGATAAAGTTTTGATAAATGAATATATATTTAGTAAAAAAAATTTAAAAACTGACAAACATTTGATCTACTCCCTCCGTTTTAATTTATGTGAAGCTATTTGACAGACACGGACTTTAAGAGAAAAAAAAGATATAAATCATTACATAAAGGTAAATTATTTCCAAATATGGAAATTGGTCATTCTTTTTGGCACGGACTAAAAAAAAAATATGTTCACATAAATTGAAATTGATGGAGTATTAAAATATTCTTATGGGAGAATTTTTTTAATAACACATGATAGATTGATAGTTATTTTCTTAATCGTCTAACAATAATTTTTCGTTGATGTATGTTTTCAAGGTTAATCGAATTTAATAATTAAACATAAAAATCAATATGAAACTTAAATAATGATACGTACTATTTAATTTTAAAATTACCGTTAAAATACCATTTCAAATTCGAAAAAGATATAAGAGTTTAATAGATCTTCTTTTTTTGGAAACTTCCAGGAAAACCTACAGCCGCTACAGCCTCTGCCCTTCAGGTGAGTACTGGGCAAAGCCCCTATTGTGTAATAGCCTGCAAACCACACACGGGATGTAAACTGCACTAGGCAAGCCCTGTGCGACAGGCTCAACCTAGAAGGCATTGAGGAGGGGATCGACCCCAGGTCATTTGTATGGATGACCACCCTCCAAACCAATTGGGTATCCCAGAAGGGACATTTAATAGATCTTGATATATATGAATATGGAAGAAAAAAGAGATTGGCGCATTTTAATAACATTTGATAAGATAGTAATGATATAAACCATCATTTAAAGTAAATAACAATAGATGTACTTCATAGTTCCATTAAATATTACATCCTATGACAGGATCACAATTATTTCTAGGCATTTTCTATAAAAAAAATTGTATATATAGTCTTAAAAGTATATATAAAAATTATATATTTATATGCCGGTTTGGATTGAATTTTTTTACTCAATACCAAATCAAATTGTAACGACCCGGCCGGTCGTTTTGAGCCCTAGCGTGTCATTCAGCGGTTTGAGGCCCTGAGCGGCTTCACTTCAGGTATTATGACTTGTACGCGTGATCGGAATTTAATTTCAGGAAGTTCGGAGTTGATTTGGAAAGAAAATTCTAATTTCGGAAGCCTTAAGTTGGAGGAATTGACTAATTTGTGATTTTTGAGTAAACGATCTCGGAATCGGGATTTGAAGGTTCCAACAGGTTCATATGATGATTTTGGACTTGGACGTATGTCCGGATCGGGTTTTGGATGACCCGGGAGCGTTTCGCGCCTATTATGGAAGTTGAAATTTTGGAAGAATTTCATGAAAATTAGGTTGAGGTGTATTTCAATGTTATCGATGTCTGTTTGGGATTTCGAGCCTGAGAATAGCTCCGTATGGTGATTCTGGTATTGGGAGCACGTCCAAAAGTGGGTTTGGAGGTCCGTAGGTCATTTCGGGGTCATTTGGCGAAAATTAGAAATTTGAAGGTTTTTGAGAGTTTGACCGGGAGTGGACTTTTTGATATCGGGGTCGGATTTCGATTCTGGGGAGTTGAAATAAGTCCGTAATGTCAAATGTGACTTGTGTGCAAAATTTGAGGTCAATCAGACGAGATTTGATAGGTTTCGGCATCGATTGTAGAAGTAGAAGTTTCAAAGTTCACTAAGTTTGAATTGGAGGGTGATTCGTGTTTTTAGCGTTGTTTGATGTGATTTAAAGGCTCGACTAAGTTCGTGATGTATTTTGGAACGTGTTGGTATATTTGGTTGAGGTCCCG